CAGAAGGCTCCCAAAAGCCCCATTTTTGTTTTCCTACACCTTCTTCTTCCACCTACATCCTTTTCTTCCTTCTTTCTCCAACCAAGGTTAAGGTGTTTTTGTTAGGTAAGTATAAGTTTTAGTTATGAATTTTGGGTTAGAGTTTTGGGTAGTTTAAATTGGTGAGATTTGCCTCTAATCCTTTGGTTTATAAGATTTTTGGGTATTAAAATTTCATTAGAAATATCCTTAATTTTGGGGCTTATATGGGAAAGACAATGAGTTATTCCTTTTTATGTTTGATTTGGGTGTGAATTTTTGCTTGCAAGAATTATAAGTAAATTGTATTGTTTACGAATTACTGTTCATGATTACTGTTCATGATGACTGTTCACAATTACTATTTATGATTACTGTTCACGCACTATGCTTTGATCTCTTTTAAGAGGAAGTCCTAATATTATTTTGGACATATTATGAATTTGTTTGACATGCGTATGTGTTTGTGGCTATGGAGTAAGTGGACCTAAGTTTAAAGCTTGGGGTATTCAGTGGACCCTTCGGGGTATTTAGTGGACCCTTCAGGGTATTTAGTGGATCTCTGCGCAGTAGGGTTAGTACTGTGATTAGCTCTAGTACAGTGTTGCTAGCACACCTCAGTGGACTCCATAGCATTGTGTGATTTTCGATTTTATGCATTGCGTTTGTGACATCGTATTTGTGAGCATATGATTTTAGTATATGAATTCAATTTAAATGTCATTGATTATTCCTTGACATTTGTGCTTATGATTTGAGATATTAAGTTATTATTTAAATAGTAAGAATTATAATATTATGTGATTTGATTCTGTTGTGTCTTATGCTCTTTGTGTGGATAGGTCTAAAGGTCTTAGGACCTAAGTTTATAGCTTAAACTTATTACTTACTGGGTTGTTAGCTCATAAAATCCCCCCCCATTTCAGATTAGTAGATCGAGGTAGCAACCTCTCGGTTAGAGAGCTTTTGGCACGGGACTCGCATACTCGTTGTATGTACAGGCTAGGGCCTCGTGTTTTCGATAGGGAGGCAGATCGATGTGTTACCAAAACAATGACTCAGCTTTTGTTTTTTTTTTTTTTAAAGCTCTGGAGAAGAATTTGCCTCATATAATTTTTGTGTAAATTACTTTTATGTATAAAATCTTTAAATTAATTATAAATGAGTTTAGCTCGGCTTATTTTATAACTTTGAATATTTTGGCATTTTTTCAATATATATATATTGACTTGTTAAAGTGGTTTTCCTTTATAGGTATTTATGATCTTCTCTTTTCAAAAGTGTTTTTATTTCCGCTGTAATTTTTTATTATAAATTTTGTTTCCGAACTCTTCTAGGACTAGAAGTGCCTAGGGAGGTGTGTTATATTTTTGGTATCAGAGCCAAGGTTTTGCTAATATATTGATCTGTCATATGAGTTAGAGTCTAGTGTCACAGGATTAGATTTTGCCTAACCATTAGTTTTGCACTCTTTGTTTTTATTAGTACCGAAGAAGAAAGATGAGTCAAGGAGACAATACTTCTACTCCTCCTGCTACTGATGACGTGAGTACCCGAATGGATATAATGCAAAAGGCCATTACAGACATGAGTTCCATCTTTAGGGATTATCTTCAACATCAAAACAACAATAATGCCCCACAAAACACTGGTGGCAATTCACAGCAAACAGTGGACTCTAGTGAAGGAAATGAGCAGTTGACATTGGTGAAGCAATTTCAGAACATGAACCCGCCTAGCTTCAAGGGAGTTCCTGATCCCGATGTGGCTGAGTCTTGGGTTAAGAAATTAGAAAAGATGTTCAAGCTCTTGAAATGTACTGACGTGCAAAAAGTGGAGCTAGCAGTGTTCACATTAGAAGGTGAAGCTGATAATTGGTGGACAGCTGCTCAAGATGGGTTTTCTAAGAAGGGGGAGGAGGTTACATGGGACAAGTTTGTTCAGGCCTTTTATCGAAAATATTTTTCTGCAGCTGTGTTGGAAAGAAAGGAACTGGAGTTTAGGAATTTGAAGTAAGATGACATGACAGTTGATGAGTATCAAGCTAAATTCAGTTCTCTTATGAAGTTTGCTCCTCACCTTGTTAATGATGAAATTAGGAAGGCAAGGAAGTTTCAAAGAGGGTTGAAAGCCTCCATTAGGAACAAGGTGGTTCCTCAAATGCTAAAGACTTATGATGAGGTCTTGGCCATGGCTCAAATTATTGAGCAAGATATGGAGGAGCAAAAAATGGAGACTCATGACTCAAAAGGCAAGGGAAAGGTTATCAACAACCAGCCTTTCAACAAGAAGCTTGGACAAAGGGGAAAAAGGAAGATCCCCGAAAGCAACAGACCTAGTTTTGATTTTTGTAAGAGGTGCGGTAAGAACCATGGGGGAAAAGAATGTTATTGGCAGATTGGGGCATGTTTCAAGTGTGGGAAGACTGGCTATTTGATCAAGGATTGCTCGGTTCTCAAGGGAGCAAGTCACCAGCTAAAGGATCAAGATAATAAGAAGCCCAAGGTTCAAGGAAGAGTTTTTTCCATCACAGAACAACAAGCTCAAAACACTCCTACAGTTATAAAAGGTAAAATACCTATCTCTTTTGGGAATGCCTATGTGTTGATTGACTCTGGATCTACCCACTCATTTGTGTCACCTAAGTATGTGCTATTTTTGCATGTGGAGCCTGAAACCCTTGATTGTGTGCTTGTGGTGAATACTCCTTCTAAGGAGGTTTCAACATCAAAAACCATTTATAGATCTTGTAGAGTTATGGTAGAGGGTAGAGTTTTGCTTGCCGATCTGATTTTGTTAGAAATAGTGGAATTTGATGTCATACTTGATATGGATTGGTTGTCTACCCATTATGCCATGGTTGATTGTTATGAAAAGGTGGTTGCTTTTTCCGCTCCTAACCAGCCTATGATTCGGTTTGAAGGAGAAAAAGTTGGATCATTTCCATTACTTGTTTCTTGCATGCAAGCTGATAAAATGTTGCAGCATGAGTGTTATGGATATCTGGCATATGTTTTTGAATCTAAAGACAAGCCGATGTCTGTAGAAGGAATTTGGGTAATGGAAGACTTTCCTGATGTTTTCCCTAAGGAGTTGCCTAGGTTGCCTCCAAATAGGGAGATTGAGTTTACTATAGACATTGTGTCTGGTACTGCACCAATATCCCAACAACCTTATAGAATGGCCCCAACAGAATTAATTGAATTGAAAAAGTAGTTGCAAGAGCTTCTTGACAAGGGGTTCATTAGACTCAGTACTTTTCCCTGGGGTGCTCCGGTACTTTTTGTGAAAAAGAAAGATGGCTCTCTTAGATTGTGCATTGACTATAGACGGTTGAATCAAGTCACCGTCAAGAACAAATATCCTTTGCCAAGGATTGATGATTTGTTTGATCAGTTACAAGGGGCTCGTGTCTTTTCTAAAATTGATCTTAGATCGAGTTATTATCAACTAAATGTTAAACCCGAGGATGTGATGAAGACTATTTTTAGGAGCAGATATGGGCACTACGAGTTCTTGGTAATGCCGTTTGGTTTAACCAATGCCCCTGCAGCTTTTATGGATCTTATGAATAAGATCTTTTAGTTTTACTTAGATAAGTTTGTCATTGTCTTCATTGATGACATTCTTATCTTTTCTCCTGATGAAGAGAGCCACAAAGAGCATCTTGCCATTGTATTGCAGATTTTGCGAGAAAAGAAGTTATATGAGCAAAGCTTTCAAGAGTTGAAGAACAGATTGGTCACAGCACCAATTCTTGCTATTCCCGACAATGGAGGAAACTTTGTGGTATATACTGATGCTTCTCACAAAGGCTTAGGTTGTGTACTTATGCAACATGGACGGGTGATAGCTTATGAGTCTAGACAGCTCAAGACACATGAGAGGAATTACCCTACACATGATTTAGAACTTGCTGCCATAATTTTTGCACTTAAGTTGTGGAGGCACTATTTGTATGGAGAAGAGTTTGAGGTGCACACTAATCACCAAAGCTTGAAATGTTTATTTTCACAAAAAGAGCTTAACTTGAGACAAAGAAGATGGATGGAGTATTTGAATGATTATAGATGCAAAATTGTCTATCAACCTGGAAAGGGAAATGTGGTTGCATATGCATTTAGCAGAAATCAACTGGCACTTTAACAAGCTTAATGGTGATGGAGTGGAAACTCCTAGAAGAATTCAAGAATTTGAATGTCAGGTTTTTGCCACCAAAGTCTGGTGTACTAGTGTCTAGTCTGATGGTTTAACCTACGTTGTTGTCAAAGATCAAGGAAGCATAATAGAAAGATTCAAGATTGATGGAGTGGATGAAGGACAGTGGAAAAAGCTCCAAAATGGGTCTTCATATTTCGGATGATGGAATCATAAGACTTGGGGATAGAATTTGTGTTCCATATGATGAAGGGCTGAGGACAGAATTGCTCCAAGAAGCACACAAGTCACACAAGTCCAATTATACCATTCATCATGGGAGTACCAAAATGTATCATGACTTAAAAGAGACATTCTGGTGGAAAAGCATGAAGAAGGATGTGGCTAAATATGTGTCCAAATGCTTGACTTGTCAAGTGGTAAAAGCAGAGCACCAGAAGCCAGGAGGGCAACTTCAACCTTTGCCTATACTGGAGTGGAAGTGGGAAGCCATCTCAATGGACTTCATTGTGGGATTGCCGAAGATGAAAAGGCAATTTGATGCAATTTGGGTGATTGTGGGCAGATTAACAAAGTCAGCTCACTTTTTGGCTATAAAACAAAAAGACCCATTAGACAAGTTGGCCAAGCTTTATGTCCAGGAGATTGTTAGACTCCATGGGGTCCCAATGAGCATTGTATCAGACAGAGATCCAAGGTTTACTGCAAGATTTTGGAGATCTTTCCAGAAAGCCATGGGAACTCAATTGAAATTAAGCACAGCATACCACCCACAAACCGATGGGCAATTTGAGAGGACTATTCAAGTGCTCGAAGACATGCTAAGAACTTGTGCATTAGATTTGCCTGAGAGTTGGGATGATCATCTTCCATTGGCAGAGTTTGCTTATAATAACAGCTATCATTCCAGTATCAAAATGGCACCTTATGAGGCTCTTTATGGCAGGAGATGTAGAACTCCAATTTGTTGGGCAGAAGTTGGCTATGGAAGGGTAATGGGGCTTGATTTTGTGTAGCAAACAATAGAAAAGGTGAAATTAATTTAGCAAAGGCTTAAAGTGGCTCAAGACAGACAAAAGAGTTATGTAGACAATAAAAGGAGACTTCTGGAATTTGAAGTTAGAGATCATGTATTTTTGAAGGTGTCACCAACTAAGGGAGTGTATCGGTTTGGTTTGAAAGGCAAACTCAGTCCGAGATACATTGGCCCGTTTGAGATTCTTGAAAGTGTAGGTGAAGTGACTTATAGAATTGCATTGCCTCCAGAATTGTCAAATGTGCATAATGTATTTCATGTTTCGGTTTTGAGGAAGTATGAGCTAGATCCTTCACATGTCATAAACTATGAACCATTAGAGTTGAAGGAAGATTTAAGTTACACCGAACAACCAATACATATTTTGGATAGGAAAGAAAAAGTTTTGAGGAACAAGATTGCGTCCTTAGTGAAAGTGTTGTGGCGGCATCATTCTGAGAATGAAGCTACATGGGAACTTGAAAGCCAGATGAGGGGGCAGTATCCAAATCTATTTTGGTAAGCTAAATGATTTGGTGGGCCAAATCCTTTTAAGGTGGGGATGATGTAACACCCCACATACCTTAGTGAATAATTTAAAAATTAGTGTCCTTTAGTTTATAGTTTTAGGGATTAAATTGATTGAATTTAAAGTTTGGGG